ATCTCACAAAACAAATTGAGGGTTGCTGGCAGGGAGGGGGATATGGAGACGGTGGTTGGGTTATGGACATTGGGGAAAGTATGTGCTATGGTAGTGCTGTGAAGTGTGTAAAGCTGGCAATTCACAGACCTGTACTCCTGGGGCTAAGAATACATTATATGTTAATAAAAAATAAAAATTATATTTTAAAAAAAAGAAGGTGCTGTGAAAGCCTCTCCAGGCATTTCTAGTCTCCAGCCTGGATGGGACTCCATTACTAGATTCCCCAGCCCCTGCCACACAGTGAGGCAGAAAGGACCAAGGAGGGCCCTCCATCAGGGTAGGCTCATGACATGGTATACCATGTTCCTCTAAAGGAACATGGATCTAAAGGAGTATACCTTTAGCCAGACTGTGTGTTGGATCACCCACTTTTTACAAACACAAATTCCTGGGCCTCAGGTCCAGGATAATTAAGTCTGAATCACTGGAATGAACTTTTAAAATAGATAAATCTACTGAAGCATCAGGGCTGGGGAGCTGTTCTACAGCTGGTTTCACTTACACATACGATCGATCTCACCAAGCTTGGAAACCAGTGGGTTAGGTGGACTTGACCAAAGGGCTAACACTGGAATTTACTAAGAGTTAGCTGAGGTCAAGGACTAAGGGCACAGTGCCTAAGAGGATGTCCTCATCTGAGAGAGTCTCTATACACAGGGAGCCATGACCTGAGCCAGGAGGAGCAGCCAGCTCAATGACTGGCATTGGGGAGTGATGAACAACATAGAAGGAACAAAGTTTCTGAGGCGGTGCCTTCCCAAGTACATTGAGCACACTTTTGCCTCAGAAATATTTGCAGTTGGCACATGGGGCCCAGTGATGTACTATCACTGCCTTCATCGTGGTCATGTACACCCTCTCTCCCAGTTACCCAATCAGATGCTAGTTTATGGGCTCCTGTAAGTGATTTGGGAGATGTAACCCAAGCCCCAAATCCTTACATTAACCACAGGATTCACTGATTGGCCTGACTCAATCAGGTGGGTGAGACAGAAGTTCTCCTTCACAGTGCAAGATGCCAGGACTCAGAAAAACAGAAGACGGACCCAGATCAGGGCACAAGGGAATGCTGTGACTTATCACAGACCTTCTCACTGGAACAGAGGTCTTGATGCCCAGGGCTCACTCCCTGGCCAGGACACAAGCTCTGAAGGGAACTGTCCTACTGTGGGCTGACCAGCTACTCTGCCTGCATGTGGGATGCATTAAGCTCAATCTCATCCACGTCCTTTGCTCCCCCTGCAACAGGGACAGCCAGATGTTGAGGACAACAACACATTTCCACACTTGGGAATTCTTGACTACCCAAATTCCAGAAAAAAATCAGAGGAAGTGCTAGCTGCAAGGGCCCTAAATGCAGCCCTGTTGCTGCCTGGAGATGCATCACAGGGAAAACTCAAATAAAAATGGAAGTCAGTCCAGGGAGGCAGTGTTCTTTGGGTTTATGGGAAGATAGCTGGATTGTCTCACTTCATCATGCAAGCATTTTTACATTGAAGAACTGTGCTATGCACAGTTAAGTATTTTACAAGTGTGGAAATTTTTAATCCTCAAGGCATGTCTGGTGGGTGGTGCTATTACTACCCTCCTTGGCAGAGCAGGGTGGTGGCCTCCTTGATCCAACTGCTCTTCTCAGCTGTGAATAGACTCAGCACTCAGGCTCCAGTGCAGGGGGCTGCTACATGCTCCTCCAGAAAGCCTTCCTGGACTGTTCCAGCAACATTCCTGATGTTAAGGAGACTGTGTGTCTGCTCTGATCTGTGAGCTCCCTCATTCTATTGTGCATCTCCAATGTTGAATTTAGGTCCTAATTATGGTTCTTATCTTATGTCCTGTGCTCAGACTCTCCCTAAATGCTTCACCACAGCAGCCGGTTTATCAAAGATGCTCTCAAATCCTTCTGATTTCCCCCTCTTGTCATTTCCCATTGTCTGCTTGTAGTGGGTTTTGTGCCTGCTGATTTTAGATATGTCAGCATCAGACATTTTCCTTGTTGGAACTTGGATAATTTGGTGTCCTTAAATACTGGTTTCGTTCTTTAGTGAAGGTGAACACTGTGAATGAGACTGATTTCACAATTTTTAAAAAATATTGTATTTTGCTTTGCTTCAGATGGTCTGAGCCAGGATCTCCAGTGAAAGAGCTGGAAGAACTGATGGAAAATCCATAGAAGCAAATGCAGAAAGATGAGGATCTTGAATAGACGGTGGAATTTAAGTTTAAAGCTCTCCAGTGTTTACCATATACTCTTTAGGAGCCACACTCAAGACAGGAATGAGCTGGTCCCACAGGGCCACATGAGCCACAGCAAGGCAGACTGACCCACTATGGAGGCCCAGTCCACACAGAACACAGGGCACACTAATCAGCAAGCTCACAGAGATCCCTTACTACCTGAGACAGGATCCTAGGACCAAGCGAGGGAAAAAAAAAAAAAAAATCAAGATGAAGAGTGAAGAAGAGCTGGAAAAGAAGAAACCTCCAGAAGCTGAAAAATTTTCAAAGTCATTGAAAATGATGTGATCCTCTGTGATCAACAGGCCTTGGGACTGGAATGGAACAGAGCAGAGGAAAGGGAGCTAGACCTAGACCCAGAACTGGACCAAGAAAGAAAAGAGGAAATAGGTGGTACAGCTCCTTTGGGAAGCATGAAGTGGACAAGGAGCCCATGGACAAGAGTCCATGGTCTGCCAGGGAGTTGAACAATTCCATCCAAAAAAAGTTGGCTGGGCCTCCTGAGTGGGAATGAGATGGAGAAGATAATCTAGACAGGTGGCCCCCTGCTGACCCTCCACCAGCACACAGGCAGTTAGATCCTCCTCACTTCCTCCCCTGTCCTTCAAATGTCTAGCCTGCCTAGTGTCCCCACTGTGGGGGCTGCTCTAAGGACATATTTTTGGGAGTATAAGATATCGAGAACACTTAAATGGCACGTGTGTCTGAGCCAAGTTAAGACCATTCCATAAACTTCCAGGACTCGTCAGTGGGTATGGAGATCTTTGTCTTGTGGCCATCTAAATAAAGATACATATATATGAAGCTTGTCTTATTAAACCAGCCACCTACTTTCTGGAGTGGTCTGCCTCCTCCTCAGTCTCTCTCTGCCCTCCAAATATGAGAACTGCTTCAGATTACACCCGTAAAATTCCAAGTAGGTTGGGACCAACAGAAGGCACTAATTATCTGATGAAGCCAGAAGATGAGAAGCAGCTGGGAGATTTCTTTGGCCTGCCCAACAGCTGAGCAGCATGCTGCCAGACACCATGGAGAACTGGGCTATGGAGAGTGACAAGGAGGAGGATTATAGTAGAGTGAATCAGAAGCACAGGAAGCACCCCATCGGCTGCTGAATTGGATACCCATGGTGAGTACAGCCTGTATATGAACAACCAAGGGAATTTGCCCAAGGCTGCATTGCCAGTATGACATCCAGATGTCTGGAGGGCTGAGAACCAGGCACTTCAAGGAAAAGGCCATGTTTGATCCCTGGTGGAAGGCTACTAAAGCAAGTCGAGACCCAGGAACCTGATGGAATTAAAGTCAAAAGCCCAAATAGCTTGTTTTGACTTCCAAGTCCAAAAACAGTTTACACAAGAAAATGTTCCCACTACTTTCTCTGCAATTCCTAAAAGGTTGCTAGGGTTGTTTTGTAAACGTACATAAATATTTCATTTTACTATATTTTAGTTCCATTAAAATGGGGTAAGCAGCCCATTAAGCATTAGCCTTGAAGGACTTTCCCCCTGGACTTGTTCAGAGTGGATACAGCCCTGGGCTTCAGGCAAAGATTCGGCAAGAAGATATGTGAGGTCTTCATGAGGTTTCCCTAGGCCTCTCTATCTTCTCTGGTCCTCCCATGCAGATGCCACCAACCAAAATCTCACAAAATCTCACTAATTCTTAGGAAAAGCCTGGTTCTGGAGCCCTGCATGGTTCTCACTGTGCTTGTGTCCTGCCTTTCTCCCAGTAGCTGCCAAGGTCCAGCATGGTCCACCTCCCCTGTCCATCATCCAGATCTTGGACTTAAAATTAGAACCAAGATCCCAATTCCATTTGAAAGATTTCCATGATGACGTTCTTCCTCAAAACAGTAAAATGACAGAAAATGAAATGTAACTAGATTATCCTTTAGTTCTGTGGTAGCAGGGGCTTAGTTTGGATTCAAAAAATAAAGACAAGAGGGGTGCCTGGGTGGCTCAGTGGTTTAAAGCCTCTGCCTTCGGCTCAGGTCATGATCTCAGGGTCCTGGGATCGAGCCCCGCATCGGGCTCTCTGCTCGGCAGGGAGCTTGCCTCCTCCCTCTCTCTCTGCCTGCCTCTCTGCCTACTTGTGATCTCTGTCTGTCAAATAAATAAATAAAATCTTTAAAAAAAATAATAAAGACAAGAGAGATGGAGGGACCTTGGCTTCCTAGGGAACTTGACACTATCACCTTGTCATTATCTGTCCATATTCTTCCTGCACAGAGCCTCCTTTACAATCATCAGCAACCTTCACCACCCAGAACCTGATCAAGCATTTATCACTGGAAACAGGACTTTGATTCAGCTTGAGAGAGAAACGAATATCAGAGTTATGAACTCACCACTCCTCCCCCAAACCCAGTGCAGGGAAAACAAGATTTGAACTTGAATCACCTTCCTCTCTACTTGGACCCTGAGGCTCAAGGAATCTCTGAAAAGACAAAGGTCAAGGTATAACTTGGATCTCAGGCTCTGGCAGACTTGGGGTCATACTTCTCCCATTCCTGTCCCCATCCTTCTTGCTCCTTGAAAGATAAGTTACCAAAGAGAACCACATAGATAAGGTGGCCTACTGGTTAGCTACAGACTGCAACGTGCTTGGCATCTTTCACCTTAATTGGTGAGACCAGACCTAGACTTAGAGGCTGGTTCCTGGGAAGTCAGGATCCAGGCTGGCTGGGGCATTGTGGGCAGATACCCACAGACTCCAGGTACCCAAACATGAGCAGCTGTCTGAAACTCTCCTGCAGAAGCTGTACAGAAGGAGCAGCCCCAGGCACCACCGGGGGATCCAGGCACCACCAGGGGATCCAGGTACTGCCTCCCCGAGACTGTTTCCCTGTGCATGTTGGGGCATCCTGGATGGGGTTTAGGATCCAGAGAGACACTGAACTACTTTTTTCTTTCTACCTCCCACTGGACCCCAGGGACAATTGCGCACCATGTAATAGCATGGAACATGCCCACAGTATCACAGGTTCACCATGGTGCTGTGTTCCATGATGAGTCAGAGTCAGTGAAACACTCTCATCCACCTTCTTCTTGAAACCAGCCAGGATATATGTGATATCCCAGGGCAGTGGACCTGGCAAATGAGCCCTCACTGGGGCTGAGCTGATGCCAACTGGGCTCTTTGAAACCATATGCACAGAGTGGTACGCTACTTCCCCAATGGCGGGGGGGGGCGCTACTGAACAAACACTAGAGGACCTTCTGGAAGGGGCAATGCCCAAGAAGGTCAGGAAGCCCACAGGACCGGTCTTTAAAAACAACCACAGATATCTCACTGGGATCACCCATGCTAGACCAATCATGAGTGAGCTTTCTATCCTATTAGAGAAAATAGGATGCTCCTCTGGCCAAGGAAGAGGCTATAAACAAGTGTTGAAAACACTTTCCAAAAGTGAGCTTATTTCATCCAATATATAGACATGGAGTTTCAAGCAAGATTATAAATGATTTAATTGAAAGTTGTTTGAACATGTGAATCTGGACTCTCCCATCTTCCTCTTGGGCCACAGCACACACACTCCCAGTATTCCAGTCAAAGCCTCGTTCAGATACAGGTAGGCAAGGACTTGCAGAGAACAACGGTCCACATCCTGGAATGAATCAAGAGGGAGAGTGGCCTGGCTGGGCTGGACTCAATCTACAGGCAGCCATGGAAACCTACCAGGACACATCCCTGAGGTCCAGAGATAGCTCTCAGCAGAGGGGAAAGGAGGCTGAAAGCCATGGCTGCATTCCAGAACCTTTGAGCTCAGCTTCAAGCAAGGAGCCTCCCTTTGGAAAGTGAGTAGCAGCCTGGAAACTACCAACCTCTCCCCACGTGGTTGGGAGCTGTTGATGAGCTGACACTGGGTGACTTGAGGCTGAAGAAGCAAGGGGATCCAGAACTTCAGTAAGGTTAAGAGGCAAGTGGAAGCTCTCTGGTCCATGTTCAAGGTCCATCATCAGAAATCCCACTACAGCCCAGAGTTCTGTACACCCAGAAGGCCATTAGCAGACAACTCCATGAACACCGCCCGGAAACATGTTGGGCAGGTAACACCTGATTTCCAGATGGAAAAAACAAAATTATTAGCATGTCACCTGCAGTGTATTCAGATTCCAGACTTCAACTTTGAAACCAGCTGTCTTTTCCAAGTTCCCCCAAGTGAGTGGGGTGGGTCACATTCCTGGACTTCATGCCCTGTGGCTGCAGGGGCTGCTCTGGCTGAGGGCACTCTGGCTCTGGCTCGTACTTTGCTCTGGGCTATGAACTTCAGACATGACTAGGGCTCTTCAGGGGCTCAGGGGGACCCAGCAATTGATGTGTGGTGAGAACCTCCACGATCCAGCCAGGCACCCAGGGCCTGAGTCTTCCCCGGGTCTATCTCCCAAGTGTGCCCCCAGGAGAGGCTCCCAGCTCTCAGGAGCAGGAGCCAAATTCTCCTGACTGTGAACCAGATCTAGAGGCTTTGATAATCTTGGAATACTGACCCTAATTCCACTAGAGAGACAAGGCTTTAGCATAGTCCTTTGTCATCACGAATCATTCCTTCCCCAAGCCAATGTCCTAAGATAGTCTGGAATGGAAGCAGACTACTTTCATTTCTGAAGGGTCTGTAAACAAAAGGACGAGACTGATACAAAGCGAAGGTAAAGCAAAGCTTTATTTCACGCCAACCATCGAGAACCAAACTGACCGGCAGGGGCCGCCTCTTACAGAGAAGGCGACCCCTCCCAGCCTCACAGACTAACTTTTATAGAGCAAAGGCCATGTGGTTGAGCTGGGCCACACACAGGTGGCCAATGAGATTGCAACACATAGAGAAAGTTGCACAGTCATGCTAGGTCACACACGGGTGGCCAATTGAATTACAATTCACCCCATAGTAGCTATTTGAACTAGCCTATCACCTTGGTCAGAATTGGTGCCTAAAAGGTGGGGCCCACATTCTTTGGTAGTCAGGGAGATAGTATGTGCGCTTTACTGATTGGATGTCTCCAGCTGGCCTGACTCGTCCTTGCATTCTGGGCTCTGTTATCTCTCCCTGACCTGACACGTCCTGGGATATGGGCTCTTTTATCAGGGGCTGGTCGGCCATATTTTACCGGTTTCCCAGACCCGTTTCTAAGTGAGTTCCTCTGGGGGGCAGAGTCAATCTAAGTTTACCGCATAAACAACAAAATGGCTGTTCTACCGAGGTGGGGCTGCTCCGGCTAAGTAGGCCCTTACATTTCCACCTTGGTGGCCATGATTGGAGGAGAGGGACAGGGAAACCAAGGATCTAGGAGGGGCCTCAACTTCCTGGGGCCTTGAGATTATCCCCCTTCTCCTCTGCTTTCTCTTTCATTCTTAGCACTCAGATGCTCACTGACCTTCAAGGAACAACTTGCACGTCAGAGGGGACAGCTCTTACATCCTGCCTTTGGCATTTCCCAGCCGGCCAGCATCATAAATTCATTTACTATTATTACACTTTCCTGGCTCATTAACATTGAGCTGAAGTTTCATAAATAATCTCTTATTAGAACATTTCTGTGTCATGTATGTATACCTGTAATTTGGATAGGTCGGGGTCATGCTGCGTCTTGCATCAGTTTCTCCAATTTCTGGCAAGAAGTGAATGAGCTTTTTTCCCATTTTAGATCCTGACTTGCCCCAATCTTTCTCTTGAAAAGCTGCCCTTGTTATTAAGGAGCTTAGTCAAAGTTATCAGGATTCAGCCTTTTAACAAGCATTGCCTTCCTGCCAAGAATAGAAGCTTCATGAGAACCGAACTGGCTCTGTGGTTGCTATAGGGCACCTCAGAATGGCCAGGATCCAAAAATGAACGTCCTCATGGACTTGACCCCTGGGTCTTGTGTGTCAAAGCCAGAGAGGAGCTCTGCTAGGACCCAGAGTGGGCAGCCCACCCACAGATCAGTTAGCAATCAGCAAAGGCTCAGACACATGGAACCATCTCTACATAGGGGGAGGCATTGGTGGCTTAACCTGACTAGTCCTGAGTGCCAAGTTTTTGCTCTGCCAAGCTGTTCAAAGACTTTCCTCCATGGCACAGAATAGAACCATCAGCCCCAGGTACACTAGGACTGAGATTCCTCTATCTTAGCTGATAGGTGGGTCTTGTACCTACAGTGGCTCCAGGCTGATACCTGTCCCCAACCTACCATCCACCCAGAAGCTTCTAGGGACAACTGGCTGCCCTTAGATTTCGGGAAGCATCCAAGGAGTCAGGACTGAACATGCTGCAGCTCTGACCCAAGTTCACAGCTGGATGACCCAGATGTCAGACTGCTCTTCCTCACCCTTCTCCCAGACACCTGTGGGAAGTACCAGCCACCACCAGGGGCAGTAGAGACATTGCCCGGCTGGAGGGCCAATACTGGAGGAGGCAGAGCTGTCTCTAGTGGAAGATCCGGATGGGACTCCCCCTGAGCCCAGTGTGGTCACTGTGGCTGACCCCCCGTCCCCAGCCCTATCTCACCTACATTCAGGCTCTCATCACACTCTGAGACACTGTTTGAGGTCATTTTAGCCCGCACCAGTTTCATTCTCTCGGCTCTCATGACATTTCCCCTAAACTGTAGCCTCTGTTGAAATACAGTTTTCCTTATGCCACCCAGGAATCTGAGGTGCCGACCTCTCCAAACACTTCCAGTCACTTCCAGGGATTTCAGAAACTGTCCTAGGCTCACCCAGGCACCTAGAGTTCTCACCCACGAAGACCCTTTTTCACGAAAACCTAGTATGTTCGTTCACTGCAAGTACTTTGCCTATAAGATAGCACCAGTGCTCCCTGTATTCAAGCATTCAGTCAAGAGCTTAGATGTATTTACACAGAAGTATTTTATTTCTACTGAAAATGTTTTACATTGCAGACACACAGTTTCCCTTACAGTAAGGAAATGCCATAAGCTTTAAAAGGCGAACACAAGGACTTCCTCACATGTTTTCAAGCAGACAGACAGCCTTAGAGACATCTGAAATGCCACTTCATCAAATGTAACATACCTCCAGAGTCCATCTCAGGAAGATTCTAGAACAGACCCTTGTCCTTTTCCCTGAGCTGCTCTGGTATTTTATAAAGAGCTCTTCAGTCTCTCAAGGGGAAAATAGAAAAATCTGACTCTTTGGACCCTCTTCTCCACCCAGAGTGCACATGACCACCACCCAGAACCTTCAGGTCCTGCTGCTATTTAGGCTCCACCTGGACCAGGTCACTGGACTCACTGAAGAAGGATTTCCCAATGCACAGGAAGGTCCCTCTCCAACTAGTTCTAATCTACATCAGTGTGAAAATCCCAGCTCCCTAGAGCAAGGGGAGGTGGGGAAGGACCAACAAGGCCCCTGCTCTCAGGTGCACCTCATGACAGGATCACAATGTTTCTAGGGAGCAAATCTCTACCCAGTCTACATGTAGAAATCACCCAGAGACTTTTCAATAATACAAATCCCTGGACCTCCATCCAATATTCTTATGTTTGAAGCACTGGGACAGCCCTTGGAAAAGAGGAGTCTACTGTAGCATCAGGGCTAGGAAGTTATTCTGCCAAGTGAATTCACTTGTGTACATGATCCATGAGCTCATGGAGCTTAGACAGCAGTGGGACAGGGGCTTGATCAAGGACTTACACTGGGATTTACTAAATGTTGGTTGAGATCAAGGACTAAGGGGGCAACACCTACAAGCGGCACCATCTGGAAGGCCTTTCTGCGCAAGGTGACTGGCACCTCTGTCAGGGGAGGGAGACAGCTGGATTAATAGAACTGGAGGGTGACATGCAACTAACAGAAGGAGGAGAGCAGGAAGGTGCTTGGCATACTCACAACGGTGTAGGACAATCAGTAAGGCTGGACA